TCAGCTGAGAGGAGCAGGCCCTCCTGAGGCAGCCTGGGGGAGGGAACTGGTCAGGGGAGCTGAGGCGACCACAGATTCTGCTGCGCAGCCTGATCCCGGTTCTGTGCGTGGCACCGTGAGTAGACGTATGTGCGAACACAAGAGACATCGAGGGGCTTTGCTTTCACCCTTGTGCCACTTGAGCACTTTGTGCTGGGCACAAGTGGTTGGAAGGGAGAGCCATTTTACAGGGTGGTGCTAGGATGACAGCCGCTGAATCCAAGGCAGTGCCCTCTCTCTGCCACGCCAGTGCTACCCCACGCGTGAGGCCTCTGGCAATAAGCAGCCCCTTCCTGCTTTCACTGATAGAGCAGTGACAGAGACACCCAGGGACACCATGGCATCATAATACACTCATCACATTTCTGCTGGTGTGCAAAACACCCACCTTGGGGCACAGGGCAATGGGAAATGTACTAAGCGCCTGAATGACATCTGGGTGTCTGCTAGTGACGGTGTCTGTGTGAGATGGTGCACCTGCCTGGGTGTATGGGGTTTCTGAGTGATAGGTTCTGAGTGCAACTGTGTGGGGTTGTGTCTGTGTGTATCAGCGACCTGAGTGACTGTGTGTGTGCGGTTGCCTCTGAGTGACCCTGACTGACAGCATATGTGATTGTGGGTCTGGAAGTGACTGAACTAGGATCACTGGTGACTTGCTAACATGGTTTTGAACTCTGCTGTCTTTGTCTGTGCTCCATAGTGCTTGACCGGGGGCTCATTAATGTCCTGTGCTTAGCACAATTACTACCAACTCATTTGCTCCGTGCAGGCAAAGCTTAGGCGTCTGGAAGACAAAACCCTACAGGATCATTAGGGGGTGCTTTTCAATTAGGAGCACTGACACCATCCCTCCTGTAACCTCTTGGGAACTCTTCTGTCTCCTCGTTTTCCCTAGGTGGGATCACAGCTCCAAGAGGAAAGGCGGATCTGGAAGAAAACAAACCAACAACCCTGCCTTTCCCTGAGCCACACGCCAGCTGGAGAGAGGGGCACCCGACTGGATTCCTGGCGGCTTCATTTGCAACGGTTTGTGGTTGTTGCTGCTGCTGCTGCTGCCGCCGCCGCTCTCCTGGCTGAAGGGAAGTTTCTCTGCCCTGCAGAGGGCTCCAGCGAAGAGAGACCCGGGGAAGCAGGCTTTCTTCTGGAGCTCCCTTTAAACGCCTGGTGCCTGATTCATTCCCTCCCCTTCCACCCGCCTTTGCACACACGCGCTCACGCTCCCTGTGCAAATTGTTGCAGCCCAGGCTTGTTGGCTTTGCAATCTGCCGCCTTGCAACGTGCGTGTGTTGGAAAGCGAGCTCGCCTCCCCCGCCCGGGGCCGAGCTCTCGGATCCCACCCGCTGGATTCCCTCGCAGGAGAGGCACTGGGCGCTTTCCTGAAGGTGCAAAGCTGCTGCTCCGTGGGGCTGTTTGCAGGACAATGGGAAACTGACAGACACCCCTCCCCATTCCCGAGGAAATGCATCTCCTGGAGATTCCTCCCGGCGTTCTGCGCCCAGGATCCTGCTGCTGGGGGATGTGATTTGGATTTGCAATGTGACCACGGCAGCCCCGTGTCCAGGATGCGGCCTCTCACCTGCCTCTCCTAGCCTGGCAACGCCTTGATCTTCTCAGCCCTGACAAGGGATCTTCCTCGGGGATCCCACCCTTGCAGCGCCTGAAGAAGGCAGCCAGGCAGGCAGTGACCCCGCAGGGCTTGGGATGGGGGCTGAGGACCGGCGTCCCTTCACCCCTCCTAGCCAGGCCACCCTCCATCGGAATCCTCCAGCAACCAGCTGAGCTGGTGGGAGCCAGCCCTCCGGCCCCCTTTCTCCGTGAGGACCCCACCGAGGCGATGAGCGGGAGATGATGATGATCGACACGCAGGTGAGCTTCGCGGGATGGGTTTCCGCCGCGCTGCCAGGGGAGTGGGCCCAGCGGGATGTGGCCGCAATACTTAGTGTCACCATCCCAGGAATCACTCCTGGCCCCGCTGCTGGGGAACTCCAAGGGGCAGGTCTCCCCCATTCTGCTGCTGCTCTGGGATGCTCAGGGTCAGTAATCACCTGTGTTAATTAGCAGCCATAGGACGGAGCAGGGGATCCCCTTCACTGCCTGGAATGATCTGTTCTTATGCATTAATGAGGTGGCTTGTGCTTATTTCCAAAGGCCTGTGCACTAATTGTATTGCCTCTAGAGATGTGTGCAGGATAGGAGCCAGACTAGACAGCGACAGGGCTTGGTGAACCTTTCCTGACAGCTCCAGGGCCATTGCTGTCAGCTGGCCCCAGGCTACTGTGTGCACGGGCACAGGGGCTGGCATGCTATGAATGGCTGGATACATGGGGACACACAGCAGCCATAGGGAACCAGACCATGGCAGGCCTGTTAGAAAAGGAGAAGTAACCCCAGGGAGCTTCTTAGTCAGAGTCCTGGGACTCTGTGTAAATGACCGAAGGCAGCTGCACACGTGGATGGAGGCTGGTCACTGCAAGGGGAAGGATGCAGAGTCTCAGGGTTCACGTGCTTCGTGAATGAGACGCTTCGGCCACTGCTGTTCTGGCTGAGGGACTGATGCACAGTGACAGCGCCTGAACGGTGAGTCTTTGCTTCCCCATGTACAGGGCTTGGAGCCAGTCAGGAAATGACTAGACCTGCAAGACATTTGAAGGTGTCAGGCCCCCTTGTGCAGCCCTTATGCCCCGAACTCTTCGCACCCTCCTGGGGGGGGAGGGGGCTGGCTCAAGTTTAAGTGAGTCCCAGGCAATCCAATCACAGGGGTTCAAACCCTCTGGTGCTATTTCTGAGAATGGGTTGCAGTTGGGAAAATTTGAAGAGTGGGCCTTGGATTGGTGGAAATCCTTGACTGGCCCCTCCCTCTCCCTCCCACCCTTCACCCATCAGCTAACCCCTAAGAACTTGAGTGTTCAGAGAGAGGCATGTTTATTCCTAGGGCCCAATGCTGAGCTTCCCCCCGAATCCCAGAGACTGAGGGGCCTGATGGTCTATTTTCCTAGGCTGGTGAAACATCGCTGACCTCAGTGGAATTCCCCCTGGATTTGCCCCTCTGTCAATGAGAAGAGAATCTGGCCCTCAGTGTGGAAGCACACCTGGCACATGCCACTCTCCGTGTGGTTAGCCTTGCAGCGCTGCAGGGGGTCTCGAGACTCTAGGTCTGTAGCATGCGCAGGAGGAGGGCCCGTGGTATGAATTTTTACATCGATGCTGCTCCTCTAAATCCCAGGCCTGTGCATAGATCAGTCCAGCGAGTGACATCGGCACTAAATCCAGCACCGAGAGCAGGAGACAAGAGGTGGGCTGTAGGGAGATCCCTGCCTCTCTGTTGGAGGAATTGTCTGGGCTTTGTGGAGAAGGGAGTGATTGGCAGATTCAAAACAGGACGTGCTGCTGCTAACACAGTGATCTCTGAGGGCTGGCGAGTGGGGCTGGCGTCCTGCTCCTTCAATGCCTTTTCTTTGGCGCTGACCACAACTTTAGCAGAGAGGGGAGCCAGGCCTGGAATGACTCTCCTCTCCAGAGCTCCTCCTGGTCTGTAGGGGCTTGGACTTTGGTACCAGACAAAGCTGGTAGTGGATACGCAAAGGAGTCCAGCTGGCATGAAGTCCTGGGATGAGGGGCACCATGAGTCCTTCACAGACTGGCTCAGCTGGTGTATTTGGAATCCCTATTTCCAAACATGAATGCAGATCAGGGGACATGGGAGCCTCTTCGGGGTTTTCCAAGGCTAGTTTTCCCAGTGGCTTTGGGTTTGTGTTTCTTTCTGTCATGCGAAATATTTCTGCTATGCTCTTTCCCCTTGTGCTGGGCTGTGGGTCCTCTTGGGGCCGTGAAGGCTGGTGGGAAGCAATTTTCCCAGCCTGGCAGTGGAATCCTGGAGAAAGCTGCATTGCCTGTAGACTTCAGGCCAGGTTTCCAATAGGGATGTGAAGGTTTAACCAGTTAACGGCTAAGCCTCACCCCCAACAGTGGGGCTAGAGCAGGCAGAGGGCTGCTTCAGCCCTGCAGGAGGGCCCACCATGGACAGGGGCTGCTCCAGTGCAGCTAGCAGGCAGAGGCTGCTCTGACCAGGCTGGAGCAGCCTTTGCCTACAGTGAGTGGTTCCAGCCCTCCGGCGGGCAGGGGTGCAGCTCCAGATGGGCTGGAGTGGCCCCCCGCTCGTCCCCTTTAATATGTTTAACAGGTTGGACAATATGTTTAACTGGTTAGCCAATTAAACGGGATTTTATATCCCTAGTTTCCAATACGTTGCTATAGCAAATATCCTTCCGGAGGATGCCAACCAGCTGTCTACATTGTGGTGGCAGAGGAATCATTTCACTGGCCACTGCTTCAAACTCACTCGTGGAACACGAGTCAATAACCGGTCCCCTACATACACCAGCCTAGGGCAGGAAAAAGAGAGGAGCTGGCCAGAGTGGGGAGAGTGGGAGGGCAGATAACCAGCATGTTCAGTTGAAAGTTCAGGGGCAATTTGGAGAAACAGAATCTTTCCCCCGGCATGGACACTGGAGCCGCCAGAGCGGCAGGGTGACACGCTGACACTCACACAGAGTCGATAGCACGGGATCCATAATGAGCAGAAATGGCAGAGGACTTTGGGTTTAATCATTACCAAAAAGAGCAGCTTATGGGCCTCCTCCACCAGCTTTGCTGGGCTGGGGTGGAGGGGGAGGCAGCTCCCCTTTGCCAGTGAGGCAGGAGGCAGGGCTGGGAGGTACGGTTCATCTGCAGGATGTTGATGGGAAAGGGGGATTGTTTCCTTGTTTTGACAGAGACTGTCCCAGGGGTGTTTGCTTCTCTCTCCACACTGGGCTGGCTACAAGCACCATTGTACGAGGCTGTTGCTGCATGGGACTTGCCTCATACTGCGGGCTGGCTACAAGCACCATTGTACGAGACTGTTGCTGCATGGGACTTGCACAGTGCCCCTGCCTCATACTGCTTGTCCTGCTGCTGCTGGGCTGAGTGAAGGACAGGCTCACCAGCTCCCACGTGTGGGCCAACCACTGTCGTTTGTGCTGCTTGTCTCTGGCTTGTCTCTGGGGTGGATGGATGTGCCCAGGAAGGAAGTGAGATGGGCCAGAATCTCTGCAAGGATGGTGGAGGTGAAAGGGCACCTCCCAAATGCTACGTGGGGTTCCTGGCCAGTGGCTTTCTCATGACACAAAATGCAGCTGCTCTGGAGGTCCTGCCGTGGCTGGGAGCCACAGTTGTGCCCCAAGGTGCGAGAGGTGCCGTGGTAAGAGGTAATGCTGCATCGTGAGGCTCCCTGGGACCTGCAGGCATTGGCGTATCAGCCGGTGTGTCCACCTGCCTCCCCAGTGCCAGCCCATGGAGCAGATAAATGGAGCAGGGAGGGAGCTGACTGCTCAGTGTGATGCCTCCCCCCCAGGCAGGGTAATCAGGCTTGAGGGTGACATTCGTTGAATCATTGTTGAAAAATCAACACCAATAAAAAGTTAGAAGAATTGGGGGGGGTTCGTTCTCCCAGGGAGCTAGTGCCATAGGAGACTACTGCCTGCAACACTGGGGAAGGAGAGCTGGACTCCCAAAGGGCTTTCCAGCAGCAAACCCCCACCTCAATTGTTGTATGCAAGACACAAAAAGTCATTCTTCCGCTTTGCTGATTAGGCCTCGGTTGGAGTGTTGTGTCCAGTTCTGGGCACCACATTTCAAGAAAGATGTGGAGAAATTGGAGAGGGAAAAGCAACAAAAATTATTAATGGTCTAGAAAACATGAGCTATGAGAGAAGGCTGAAGGAATTGGGTTTGATTGGTTTAGAAAAGAGAAGACTGAGAGGGAATTTCAAGTATCTGAAAGGGTGTTACAAAAAGGAGGGAGAAAAAATTGTTCTTCTTGACCTCCGATGACTGGACAAGAAGCAATGGGCTTAAATTGCAGCAAGGGAGGTTTAGATTGGACATTAGGAAAAACTTCCTAACTGTCAGGGTGGTTAAGCACTGGGTGTGGTGGAATCACTATTAATGGAGATATTTAAGAGCAGGTTAGACAGACCTCTATCAGGGATGATCTAGATCAGGGCTACTCAACATGTGGCCCATGGGCTGTGTGTGGCCCACGGCCCGTTCATTTGTGGCCCGCGGTGCAGTTTGGGTTTACATGAGGCTCAACATGTGGCCCACAGGTGGGATCTTTTGAACATGGCCTCCATTGGGAACACACTCCACCATGGCGAACACACTCAACTTGTGGGTGTGTTGGAGGGCAGAGGACTCCTCTGTGTGCAGTATTACAGTTCCTACTACAGTTCTCCCCTATCTTGATTGATTGCACACTGGAAGTGATCACTAGAGGTGGGCCAGAGCCTTGTGAGGTTTGGTTGGACCTTAACTCACAGCTAGGGGTTCATCTCTGGGCATCGAGCCCCATTGTAAACTGTCATACAACCCTTTGTCTGTGACATTACTGGTGGCTGTTCTAGTCCAGGTGAACTTTCTCAGGACAGGAATGGAACCACCAAGGAGGGAGGGGCTGGGCAGTGCAATACCCCACACTGGATACAGGAATTCGGTCGGGTCCATCCAACAACCAGTAGGTAACCTGAGCTGTGCACTGCCCTGCGCTTAGG